CTTGCTTTCATGCTCGATTCAATTTCGTCGGGAGTTTTGATAGTATCAAGTCATGCACTCTCAGTCATCCCTCGGTTACCTCCCCCTACATTTGATTTCATGTTTTTCATGGCTTGCTTGCACCTTCGCCTCACAGCTATCTTGCTCGAACTATCCGCTTCGCACCCTCGCATTTCCGGATCAATCCCCGCCATCGTGGATGCGCAGTGGCAACAGTTCTACTGGCAGCATTACCTCCTTCAACAACAGCAACAACAACAAACCTCCAGCCAACCGACACAGCAGTACAGCCCCACGGGCACTTATGGCCCGATGACCCATGCAGTCCGCACTCAACAGGCTCATCAACACCACCCTTACACTCCATCGCCCAGCACCTCACAACAGGCACACACTCCATCACCGTCAGCCAGTCAGCCTTTCCCTCCTCCACCACCGCCGCCACTGCCAACAGCAGCTCCTACCACTCCAACCAACAAATCTTTCAAGCACAGTCCCACCCATCCAGCACCACCGGCCACTGTTCCCTTCCCCCAACCCACTATTCAGGACTCCTGGCACTCCACAGAGTCCCATTGGGACTCCCACTCACTCCACGGTCACCAACTTCAGAATACTATCCAGCCAACACAATGGTCCCGCCGAGTCGGCATTGCCGGCTTGCCCACTTTCGAAGTCTTCCCCTGGCTCCTTGCCTATCATGGTACGGCTGATTACACAGCCCGGACCCTGAGCCACGGAAAATTTTGTGGCCTCATTCCGACAAGGAGCATTGCCGAATCAGTCCTTACCACTCACCTCTTACAGGAAATTCGGGACAGGCGCTTTGACTTGGATGCGATCGCGGAAGCCCTCCATTCCGCGCAAGGCACAACCGTCCCCAACAAGACAACCCAAGCACGGGCCTTCCACGCTCCTTTGATCGCCCTTCTCACTGAGCAACTCCAGGCCCATGCCCCAGCTGCAGCCGAAGGTTCCGCCCTTCGTGCTCTCAAGGCCACCTCCAACGACCTAGCCAGACCGCGCGAGAAACTCCAGGCCCATGGAATCGACCTTACACCGCGCAAGGAAGCTGGTCGTTCTTCTGCACCGCTCCTCCCCTCAGCGCTCCAGCCGCCCCGGCGGATCCCGAACCCCACAAGCCCCCTGGCCGACGTCCTGCAACCTCCCCATCCTTCCTTAAAGGATGTTCCCGAAGCATGGGACACACCAGCCATCCAGCAATGGATGCGCAGTTTCGATTCCACTGTCCAGGAATCAGCCAACGAAGTACTCCGCATCCTCCAAACCAACAAGATCACTACCGACCAGCTCAAAGAAGCAGCCACTCGCTATGGCCTACCCCTCAATCAAGTGAACTAAGAGCCTTCAGCAAATCGTCAGCGTGGGAGCAGCGGTGGCTTGCTGACTCCCCCTGTCCAGCCAATTTCAGCCGCATTCCACCCACTTGCACCACCTCCACCACTTACACCAAGCCCTCTCCACTCTCATCCACTACAGCCAATACATCGAACGCGCCGAAGCCATCTTTGCCGTTGGCCTCGTCCACATCACTTTGCTTTTTTGCTACCCATCCACACAACGCTCCCAACAATGGCGTCAACGACCACAACACCTCCGCGTGCTCCCCCACACATACCATTATCACCACTTTCTCTCACCCAACTCGGTTTACATCAAGCTTTACTTCAACGCCCTTCCACCTCAGCGATGTTACCATCAGCATGGCCATTTCTATGTCGGCTCCACCAGCATCGGCATCCCCCACCGGGAACACAACCGTCGCGCCAAATTGAAACAACTACAGAACAACATACCAGTTTCCGCTGAACTTTCCTTACGCTACTGGCATTCTCATAACAATATGCATCACTTCACCCCAATCCAACTCTCCTCCCATGACAACTACGATCAAGCCTGGATCCGTGAACATCATTACATTTCCAATTGGATGCCACCTCTCAACTGGCCTTTCATCTCCCAGCACCTCAAGCTCAAAGCAGAAGGCTGGCAGTTCACCAAACATCGAGCACACTTCTACTCCCGCCTCGCCACGCACAAACGCCTCTTTCGCAAGCTTCGCAGACGACAACAGACCCTCCGTGAACCATACCTCTTTACTTCTACCAAGCACCATGCCCTCACCCTCCTTCGCAATCTCACCAAACACACGCTTGCCTCCTTCGAAGCAGCCAAGCAGCTCCGCAGTGGACGCCACACAGACCTCGAAGTTTATGCCATCCGACGTATGGCCGCCAATCTTGAAGAGCCAGGTCGCACTCGAGCACTGCACATTATCAACAAAGCACTCCACTACCGGAATTTGACCCCTCCCAAACCCAACATTCCTCTCACCGTGCCCTTCTTGGCTCATCCAGATTTCACAAAGCACTGCCAGCAGTGGTTGCAGACCACCATCCAGCAACACAAACATTTGGTACTACACCTCCCCACACATCGCCTGCGCGAAGCGGCACACAAGACACTCCGAGCGCAGCTCCACAACCAGCACCTGGGAAGAAACCCTACACACTCCGCCACATTCCAACGATCTGCCGTGTGCTTGTACCCACCTCCGCACTTTGCTTCTCGATCCATCCACACCCACTGTCAATGACCACTACATTCTCACACTTGACCAATTGCAGCTACCACCACACCTACGCATTTTCCTTGCAGCCAACATGAACAGCACATTCTACCCCAGCAAAGCCAGGTACTTCCTCACCTTCCAAACAGCCTTTTCCAAATGGCTACGAGTTCAGGGCCTCCCAACCTCCCTTGTTCAACACTTGGAACCTTTTCTTCAACATCAATGGCGACTCCACACCACCCATCTCAAACAACAACCACGTTTCACAGCTCGTCTTATCCGTCAACTTCAAGAATTTCTTGGCGATAAGGTTGTTCTCCACCACGCGGACCACGAACTCCAACAGCTCCGCATTTTCTGCCCACGCCAATACTTCGCCGGTGCCCTGAACACTTGGCACTCTCCGGAACTTTGAGAACCTCTTCCACAGATTAAACTCCTCCAACATCCACGACCATCTCGCCGCCACTATTCCAATTCCCCAAGGATTTCACAATCCCCTATGGCATCGTCCACCTCAAGGAAAAGAAGCAGTGGCAGAAGGGACGCACTATCATATCGTATTTCCAATCCCTCAGTGGCAACCTTCTGCGTATCACCAGCCGAGCACTAGACACCATCTTGCAACACCTCTACCCCCAGCACCCAGGCCAACTCTCCATTCCCCAACTCTGGCGCCACTTCCAATGCTACCTTGCAGACACACCGGCCGACATTACCCTGCACGCGACCAACGATGACCTGGTCGGCTTCTTCAACTCAGTTCCGCAACATCGGCTTATTGATGCCGTCCATTCCATGATTCAGCACTGGCAACGCCAGAACACTACGCACACCCTGACAGTCGACACCAAGGCCACAGGCAACCCCTTTCATCACTCCCACATTGGCCGACATTACACCAAGCACCCCACACAACGGACCCTCCACACTTCTGACATAACAACCATCGTCGCCTTTGCACTCAACACTTGCATTTTCCGGGCATGCAACAACACTTACAAGCAAATCCGAGGGCCGGGATTGGCTCCCAGCTCTCTCCTGCCCTATGCAACGTCGCTATCACTTTGATCGAGCACTCCTGGCATCAACTCCACAACAACCTCCTTCAACACACTGCTCTCCACTTTACCTACTACCGTTACGTGGACAACCGCTTCATCGTGCACAACGAGCATTTCCTATCCCACCCAGCCATCCAAACACTTATCCACCACAACTTCTTTGGCGACCCAGTCGAACTTGAGCCGGTCGACGACTTTCACCTTTTGGGCTTTAACATTGACCTCCCACAACGCACCATCACCTACATTCAACCCACCCAACCCTGGAAAATCAGGGATCACACCAGCGCCGGTAGCCCGCGCTTGGCTCTTTCCGGCTTATGCCATCTACACCTACACTTTTCCACAACAACACGCAAAAGCAGCGGCTGAAGAGCTGATACGCCTTTATGTCCAAAAGGGACATAACCCTGCAGCCTGCAGACGGTTTTTGAAAAAAGTCCACCCACCATGCTACACTTGCGCCGACATCGGCGTGTTGTGTGTGTCCAGCCCTGTTCCGAAGGGTTACTTTCCTCGCGTTGTTCATGATTTCCAGCAGGGGGGCAGTGAATCTCATTCCATCCACTGCCCAACGAAGACGGTGGTTTGAGATTGTGAAGCGAGAAAGGACGCTTCTCGTGTACCTGCTGAGTGAGCCGTTGATCAAGCTGTCCAATTTGATCGGTTTGATTCATGGTCCTTCATGCTACCTACCCCTCAAACCATTTTCTCTCCGCCACTTTCAGCAGCCGCGCGGTTTTCTGCTTGTCACTGCAGTTGTGCGCAAACCATTTGTTGAAACACCTTCAACTCATTGGACCTTTCACAGTGCCGTTCCATCACCATTTTTCCTGGAAATTGAGTTAGCTGAAAACCAATGTCAGAGTGTGTCACCCTCTGTTTCTAAGAGTTCTGCGGAGTACTCACTTCTATCCAGCAGGGGCGTACGGCTCGTCATACCCACCGTACGCAACGAAGCTACGGTATGACGAGGGAAGGGTGGACTGATCATCCACCTGTACCTGCACTGATGGAACTTTTGCGCACGCTGTGACTCCACTCTTTCCTTGTTTGATTCCATGGTGGTTTCGCATTCTACTCCCCTAAACCAACTTCCCTCCGCATTGTAGCTGCTGATCGCCGCTTTCGTTGAGCGTTTTTTGCAACATTTATTCAACATTCAGTTGACTGCGGACTTTGCCCCATTCCGTTCCATCACTCCTTTTCCCGTGGAACAGAGTTCACTGAAAACCCATTGTCTGAGTGTGTGTCGGGCCCGTGGATGAGAATATTGTAACGCAACCGCCCGACTCAAAAAGTAGATTTAACATCTTCGCTCAAGAAGCCGTGCGACTGTGCACCTCTTTGAGCCTCTGCTGTTCTTGCCACTCGATGTACGCCTTTCTCTGCTGCTCCTGAACCTGCAAGGTCATCTGAAAACAAGGGTCTTCACGACAACCTGTTGGAATGCCACACACCTGATGCCCCCCCAAACATACTCCTGCACCATACCTGACACAATGCCTCCATGTTCCTTGCAGGCTTACCTTTAAGAATAGTGTCGAGTCTTTGTGGTCCGTGTTGCGTTTCTGCTTTTGCTGTCAGATTCTTCTATTTCCGAATGAAGAGTTTCCCCAAGAATCTTCGAGGGGTTCTTCCTTGAAGAAGCCTGAGCTCTTCTGCGTCTCACCTACCAGTCGCCAACTTAATAGCTGTTGCGCGGCCTACCCCTGAAATAGAGAGGGGCAAAGTCGTTTGCTGGAAGAGCTGGACAGCTCGACTTCCGAACCTGCCGTTGTTCCCGTTCTACTTCTCTGTCTTCTGCTTGACTGCGGCCTCAGCCCATGACATAAAATTCCTGTATCTGACAAAGAAAACATCAAGATCACAACCTCTGTTGCTGATAACATGTCTAGTGCAATCAGGTGACGGTGACTCGCCTCGAGGAAGGAGTTAGGTGTGTGTGTGTGTGTGGCAGCAAATTTCTTGAATCTATGCATGAACTTTAAACTTGCTCATGGCGTAGCGTCACGCTCTGCTTGTCCTACATGACTCGAAGCATCCAGCATGATGTTCAAGTCCGGGCCTCCGTCTCGTGCCTTGTGCTAGAATACATGCGAATCAAACACCAAATATGTCCAACAAAAACCGCACAAAACCACATAACATACAATCAAACAAACAAAAAATCAAATAAGTAAAAAAAACTGCGAACGAATGCAAATGAATGATAAATACGCAAGCAAGAAGCCAACCATCTAGCCACGCCCATGCCCGCTGCAAGCTTTCATCCGTCCATGGATCACTTTCGAGCTGGAACAAACTTGGTTTGGCCTGCAAGACGTTTGACGAACACATGGTGCAACCCAAACACGGTCTTGAGCAAAAGTGCGGCCCTAACCAATCCTGCTTCAAGGGCCGTTTCTGTCCACATTCTCGGCAATATTGCGATCCCTCAGTCACTGTCAGCATCAGTCAACAAGCAAAATGGAGGCTTGATTGCTGTATTCCGGTGCCAGGTCACGTCCACATACGGGATGGCACAAAGTGGGCACTCAGCAGCCTCGAGGAACAAAGAAAGAGGAGCTACACCACTACTTAAATCGAACAAATTCAAATCAATCTATGGAACTCACAGGGCCACCGGAAAATTGATAGATACTGTAGATTTAAAAAAGATTGACTGTAGGCTCAGGAAAACTGAAGGCCCCGGCTGGCTCCATGGGCAATTCGGCGTGCGATTCCAATAGTCTTGGACAATCACCATCCCACGTGATCTCACCTTGACCAGCATTTGAAAAAGCCTGTAGTGGAAAGATTAAAAACCGGTGAGGAATTGCACAAACCCGATGGGCCTTCACAGTGTCCTCGATCCGAAAAGGAGTGTCCAGAAGCCAAAGAATTTTGTGGATCTAATGCAGAGTCTGACAAGCCACCTTGGTTGATAATTCAGTCTCTTCGTGATGGCTTGCTCTGGTGCTGGTTCGGCGTACAGTTGACCAACAAAAGTGTAAGAAGCTGAATTCTGCCAAAGCCACGGCCGGGACGCAAACTGAGGCAGCAAACAAGGCCACTCTCTTCACCACCACAGTGCCGAAAGCTGGAAAGTTCGATCTGCCAAATGCCAACGGCACATCTAATCTGAGGGTTTTCGTCTAACCTAACTATAACTATACTAGGGTGAGATGACTTAGGCCAATTGGGTCGAAATGACATACAACTTTCCCAGGGTAAGTCCTAAGTCATGTACAAATGTTATACAGGGCAATTTCATTGGCACACACTCATGACATAGGCCTTGTTGACCTGGTCCTGAGTTTTTTTTGAGGGGGGGTTGGTGGGGGGCATGCTCCTGGAATACTAGAGCTAATGAAAGTCCACATGTCATAGGAACATCTTTTGCTTTAAGTCTGCCTTTGTGCGTTTTTGCTCTCAAATTCCTATCTCTCGATGGTTTATTCATTGTTTAGATACCAAAGTTGTATGTCATGATGCTTGCCAATATAAAATCAACTGTTTTTAGGATCTTTGGTGACAACCTCTGGCATCTCTGATTTTGATGTTTTTCCAAGCTTTTGCTTCATGACATAAATACTTGTGGGGGGTAGGCTAAACCTTCATGACTTAGCCGCCGTAATTTGGAGGTGGTTTTCACAAGTCCTTTGTCATTTCAGCCTAGTATATATAAACCAGGTGCTTCATCTTTCTTCAAAACCAAGTCGAGCCCACGAACCCAAGTGCACACGCGTGCGCAAACACAAACGGGACACTCTTGTCGCACTCTCCTGCCCCACACTCTTGTAAAACATGCTTGTGGCAAACTCTTGTCGCACACTCTTGTCGGACATTCTTGTTACACATTCTTGCCACACACTGCACACTCATGTCATACAATCTTGTGGGACACTCTCGTGGGACACTCTTGTCACTTGTAGGACACTCTTGTGGGGCACTCTTCTTACCTTCAAATTGAGGAGTCCGTGCCGAACGTCCTCCAAAAGTGACGTGAAGCCTCAGACTTCCTCCACAAGTGACATATCAATGTCTAGCCTTCAGAACGAGCATTTCATACAATTACAAGACTTCCCCAAGTCTCCACGCCACGCCTTAACATGTCCGACAAAATTCGCACCGCACGTGTGGACACATTGCTGCTTCACCCGAAACACGGCTTCCATGCAAGCGCTTCAAGCGCAAATCTCAATGGCACAGCGGCATACAAAACCGCCAAAAGACCGCCCGTTGCTTACCTTACAAAACACTGCGCCAGCGCAGCCAAATCATCGTTCACACTTCGACATGTTAGCTCGCTATGCTATTTCAGACAAATCTGACACTTCATGCTTCCATCCAAGACCTCCAAAAGTTTTTCCCAACGGGAGGACCATATCGATCTCATACTGTCGGCGGCGAACAGTTGCGAATGGTTGCAAACGGTCGCTGACAGTTGCGGACATGAAAGGATCGTCGCGCAAATTCGCTTCTACCCGGCCCCCAAACCCCCAAGAGTTAAACGAGAAGCCTTCGCGATGCATGGAAAAGGCATTGTATACAACTTATTATACCACAACAATACAACATGCAATTGTATACATCATTCGGTGATGGAGGGCAAACCCAATATAAATATAGGTCGTCTGGAGAATGCTACGAGGAAAGGTGTTGCACTCCTAAGTAGCGCCACTGGCTTCAGTTCTTCGGACAAATCTTGCAATCCGGTGTTCGGCTAAATGTTACATCAACATTCATACAAGAGGATTTGCAAAGGGTGTCGCGCACTTGTTTCTGAGCAAAAGAGTGAAGGATTTTCTCACCCATGCAACCATGCAGAGCATCCTACACAAAACATAGCTGGGACCTCGTTGGCAGACCTGGCATGGTCCCAAACACGGAACTCGGCCAAGTTCCCAGAGAATGGTCCTAACCTGAGCGAACATTTCTCAAAGCGTCAAATTGAGTGTCAAAGATTTAGTGTCTGGCCGGAGCTCTGAGTCTTTGTTGATGGCCAAAATCTCAGTGCCAAGGGCCACCTCCCGAGTCTCCAGTTGGTCACGTATGTGAGCACTAAAGGGCCCATGAGCGATGTCCTCCAACCTACTAGCGATGGACACTACCATGAGCCCACTCCACCTGCACTCCATCCTTGAAGATCGTCACCTTGTAACTGACATCAACCGCTGTCTGCCACGTGAGCATTAGGCCAAACACGGTTGAAACTGCACACCGGCAGCACCTTGAAATCATTTTCGCTGGAATCAAAGGCCCAGGTTATCGCTACATGCGTCCATTGTCGTTTCCTAAGTTCAAGAATGAATAAAGCTGGAATGAACATGTTCCGGCAAAATTCCCGGATTGAAGCCGCTGGCTGCTGAAACGGCATCCTCGAGGAATGCGTGTGTTCCCCGACCAGTTCGAGGCCTCCATGGGTCTGACTTGTCGAGCCAATCACAAGGTCTTGCTTGACAACCCAGCCTCCACCAGGCTTTGCATACACAGACCTTCAGTAGTGGAGACTGGAGTCCCCAACCCCCAGTTCTCTGCCACCCAAAAACTGGGCACTGCGCAAACAGCGGGTTCATGTTGGCTATTCAGCTCTACAGCGCGTCGCTGTGCGCAAAATTACTGGAGGGTCATGGTTGCGTCAACAATTGCAGGTTCGACGCAAAACTGTGGGGCTGTGCTCCAGGCCGATGTGTGGGCCACGTCATTTGGCCCTGCATTTTGCAGCATTTTGGCCGCCCTTTGCATTCAAACCGCTTGGGCCCTTCATGCGTGCACGCTTCTATATATGTTTGAACACCCACGGTTTGGCCCACGGCTGATTTACAAAACGAAGAAAGAGTGCATTGGACGTCTATCCGCCGATCCAGTAAGCACACTCTAATCTGGCCCTTGGCACGAGAAGGGCCACAAAGCACGCTTGTTCCATGGTTGGCTGCCTTCATGGAAAAACCTGTCCCTTGGCAGGTTTGCAGGGCTTGTCCCCCCTTCACCGACCATGGTAGATGAAGTCGGCCAGGCCACGGGAAGCATCCAGGATGAGATAAGGAGCTTGTGACCAAGGGCTGCCTTTTCATCAAGTCCTGCCAAACAAACAGGACACTGCACAAATCACACTCCAACAACACAAACCGCGCAAGGAAGTGTATAGGCTCACACCAACTCAACCCACACTAACTGATCTCAACTCACTTGCACTCACGTACACTCACTCACTTGCACTCGCTCACTTGCACTCACTCCTGCGCGTTGCTCGTTTTTACATGTTTGGTCACATGTTTGGGCATGTATTTTGGAGGTACGTCCTATGTAAAATCTACGGTAGAGACCATTGTGTTTCTCTTGCTGTGATCATTGCGCGGTACACTGGCGAGTCATTCTCTTTTCATGACAGCTGGCATGTTTCCAATAACTGACATAATGATTCGTGAGGTTTGCTGTTGCCGCGGTTGGTTTCAGCTGTGGTTTTGCTCGTGGAGCAGTGGTACAAATTGGGAATTTACTCAAGTAGTAGCGTTCGACACGCAAAACCACGCTCAAACACTGTAAGTTAGGTACTAGTACTAGCTACCTCAGTTCCTTACTTAATTAAGTACGCGCCTACTTAATTAAGTAGAGGGAGCGGGTTAAAAAGAGAAAATGTTGGCCTTCGACGGCAAAAAGAGCTGTCCGTTTCTGAAGATTTTTCCGTCTGTGGAAACTGTTTTTCGAGCAATTCAGCTGTTGGAAGGCTCCATGGTTTTTCCTGATCCCAAAATAAAGGGGGAGGGGTGGAGGCCCTCATTTTTGTATACAGTTTTGATGAAACTGGTCTACAAAATGACCCCTGCTGTACCACAATGCCTCTACAAATTGCATGTTAAACAAACGACTCTCTCCAAAATGAGGTCGTTATGAAAAGGCATCTACAAAATGGTTTTAGTATGTTTTAGTCATTTAAGTAGGGGTCTTTCTTTAAGAACAAAAAACATTGGGAAAAAAAAACATTTCTCCACAAAATGCAGGGCCAGGTCTCTACAAAATGACGGGATTGAGCGCAAAAGCGAGTTGTCTACAAAATGACCTGCTGATATAGGGCCTCAAGGCTCTCATTTTGTAAATGGCATTTTAACGGAAATATTTCTTGCGAATATAACACTCACCCCACTCCACGGCACTGCTCACTCACTCACTCATGACTGTGACCCGCCCCGTTGATTCATAATATCTGCACTCATCAGCTGTACGCACTCCTTTCTTGTCCGGGCTTGAAACTTTACATATGGGCTCTCCAGCCCTTTAATGTTCCAGCCCTTCTTTCCTATTTTGGGCAACTTCTTCCCTTCTACCACACTCGCTTGCGCACAGATCTTGCACTGCCAACCCAATTCTCAAATTGTTGCACACTTCAAGTGCCTAAGTTTGCCCAAGGACTCATGAGAAGCGAGAAACAGTGCAAAATGTGTGGTGGGGAAGGGCATGTGCGTTTGCATAGCTCACAGCTGTTGTCAACTCCGACATTTCTTTAAACATCAAGCCCAAAAACCAGTGGAAAAGTGCAGGCGCAGCAGGGGAATGTTGTAGGTTGGTTCTTAAAACCCCCCTGAGTCTGATCCAAAGTGTCAGGTACACAATCAGGACTGGGATGGCGCAGGACAGGACAGTCCTCATTGAGACATTCGACACGGCACCCTGAGACGGGCCCATACATGTCGCAACAGGACAAGGAATTTACTCACAGGTGAGTCACAAAAAGGGGAGAATTTGCGCAGCAGCAGCGAGAGCAACGTCCTCATGCCTCCTGGAGGAGGCTTCAGGGCCACAGGCGGAAAACCCTTCGAGGGGTCAAAGCCGGCAGGATTGGGATGAGTCAGTTCATCAGTTCTTCCGCCCACGTGTTCAGCTTACGTTTCACACGGGAAGGGGCAAGTTGGCACCCTCCCTGATGGAGTAGAAGAACGACTTGTTGCCCTGGTTGTCTGAAAGGGGGGTCGGGGGATTGGCTTGATCAGAACCACCCCCCAAAGTAGCTCCCAGCCTCCCCTGCGCTCGCCTCCCTCAATGCGTATCGCTTCTTTTGGGGGACCAGTTTGTTGGTAGGCTGGACCAGCCGAGGGCCTCATCACCCCGCGTCACCAGAGATGCAGCCATTGGAGTTTCAGCGCCAACGGCGACGCCTGGACATCCGTAGGCGCCTGGCGTGGCCTTCATGTCCTTGCGCTTGCGATGGCGCATGGGTGGCTCCATGGGGGCAGACCCGGCCAGGAGGTGCCGATGTAGGGGCCGACGATGTAGTAGCTGCCGTAGGTGCAGAAAACGACATAGGAACATCCCCCTCCGGCCAGCTTTCAGGGCCACAGGCGCCTGCACCTTCAAGAGTGGAAGTGTCCACATAAACGGCCGACATGGCGTCACTCAACTCCGCCAACTTGACCCGAAGCTCCTTGGGCGTGGGGGCTTCGCACTTCACGAAGTCTGCGGAGACCACAGAGTCGGTGTCGTCCTTGGGGAGGACTGCGCCCGCCAAGGCATCATCCACTCTGCCCGCAGTCTCGGTGACTTCCTCCTCCAGCTTGAAGAACAGGGTCACCGCTTCAAAGGGTGCGAGCGTGAAGGAAGACACCGTGTCCTCTCCATTAAGAATAGTCAAAGAACTCTCCTGTGTTGCCGGTGCTTGCCATGGCGATCAGATAGGAGAATGGGAAGGAGCGAAAGTGAGAATGTTTTTGTTGGAATCTAGCTTGAGCCAAAATGCCTTGATTTTGGCTGATAACTGTTTTTAAGAAACATAACCTGCTTTCCACAGGCTCCAAGCACGTTCTAATTAACCTGCGAAATCCTTACTTTCTTTCACCTACTGTATGCCCATTGCACTCAGAAAGAGGTGGTCCTGGCAGCGCATCCAGAATTCGACTGTAAAATCACCTGGTAATTTCAAAACATCACTGACCGTGGATTTGTGTGTTTGGACCGAGTAGTGGTACTCAGCATCCGGAGTGCCTTCTAGAAGGCCAAGATCTGATGCTGGTCCTAGGAGAATAGATCCGTTGGACAACTCCACGGATCCACCTGGGACATGTATCAGTTTCTTGCGCTGTTCCAAGTTCACATCCCAGTCCATGTTACCACTCTCGAGCCACCTTGTCTCGGATCCAGCTGAAAGCCTTGAATACACTCCTGCTGCTTGGTCATGACAAGCTGCTCTCATGCCAGTAATCTCTACTAGGCACCGTCAAAAATCAACTCGTCCTCTGCCAAACGCTGAAGCTGATACACTTCCTCCGCTTTGTTGAAGTCTTCGGCCTGAACCGCCTTGCATGAATCATGAATGCACAACCTTCAATAACAAAGTTCACACTCCCTGGAACAACCGTGGAAATGACCATTGTCCTCTACAAATAGATTGTTAACCAGTTATAGTTCGTTGCGCATATATATATATATATATGTATCCTCTTCTATGATTCTTTCAGGGAGGGTGCTCCTTATATCCCAAAACGAGCTATCAAAAGTCAAGCAGTACAGCAAAAGCTTGATGGAGACGAAGCATTCGGCACCCCGACCTCCTGCACACGAGCAGCAATTTGCTCCCGGAGCTGCTTGGACCGAGCCAAACGCACCCACATGGAAGCCCTGAAGCAACTAGCGGCGCCATAGCGGCAAGAAAAAGAACAAAGAGGACACCTCTCTTGTCTTATGGTGCTACCGTCAAAACGCTGCCAAAATGCTGCTCTTTGGTCAGCACATCCCGCAAATGTTTCAGCTGCTTTGCCTAGGCACAGCGCAATGTACACTCAACGAGGCCCAACGGCTGCAAACAAACTTAATGCGCCCACCGAGGAACATGCTCAAAGCGATAGGATGCTGTGGCCTCCACCATGGCTCTGACGGCAGACACCTTTGCGAAGAAAGCTCTTGCGGTCAAAACAGCAATCTGAGTAAGCTTTCCGGCAGGGAAGCTTTTGTGGAAAAGTAATGTTCCGTGGGCGGGTGGAATGTGCATCGTGTTGAGGCGAGCAAAAACGAATAAAAAAGAGAAGGATCCTGAGAGATGGCCACGTACAAGTGTGTGCTCTGTGTGCACTCCGTTCAATACATTGATGGCATCCTGCTGACAAGGTCGCCTTATCTTGAAAGTGTTCACATCGCCTAGCACGGCAATGCTGTGCACCTTGCACCCTTCTGCATCTTGCTCCGCCCAGGCTAAGCCACACTACACTGTGTGCACCCAGCAGCAGCATCCCCAATGAGCGGGACGGTCTTTCAAGTGGTTCGTAGCGGCTTATCTTTTGGTGCGCTTGGGGGTTGAGGTGGCATACAGTGATAGGGATGAGGACAAACACGCTTTTGTTGGTGACTTGCTCTCTGTGGACTGGCGGCTGCTTGACACATGGTGGGTCGATGCTTTGTCGATGCGGTGCGACAGTGACATGGAGATTGAACATCCAAGCAAATTCCTTGCACTTGGGTTGCCAGGTGCCACCTTGCGAACAGAACTTCTTCAGATCACCCTCATTGCAAAAACTTGCCTTTCTACAGCAAGCTCGAGCAGCTGCTAAAGCAGCCGCCACATCTGAGGTAAAATGGCTAAGAAGGCAGCGGGGTTTTTGACCCTCCCGCTGGCCTTTGCCTGAAGGACATCTGATAAAGGCAGCTCGGTGTGTTTCAGCATGCAACCTCGTACCAAGAAGCTTCGAAGACATACTAAAAAGCTTCGTGCTACTGCAGGTGAAACGATTCGCAAGGATATCCATGTTTTTGCTTCGACTCAAAATCTGACACCGAGCTTTCTACTTTGCAGATTGGCACGCACAAGATCCATGCCTGTAGACGACTCGAAATCCTGCCATGTTCAGCGTAAAAGCACATAGAGATTCTCCTAGCCCTCCCAATGTCTAGTTTCGCTGAGTCAGGCTCGCCAGCCGCTCCTCAGTGTACTTCCGTGGCTTCCGGTCACTTGGCCTTGTCAGCAATCATTACCATGTTGGAAAGAACCGCAACTCTTTCAGAAGAAGGTGCTTAGGTGTCCACTGTGTTTCTTCGTCCCTGAAAGCTCTTGGCAAAGGCACACTGCAGCTGCGGCCTTCCGAGCAGGCAAGGACAAGCAAGCATTAGAATGCAAATAATGCAATCCACAAAGGCCTCCTCCAAGCAGATCTAGCGGATTTCCTGGAGGAACCTCACATCCCAAAAATGTTGGAGAATATAGGGATGGCCAAGGGCCACAAAAGACTGATTGCATGATTGTTTGGATTTAGACGAAGCTGCTCCCGGCACAGGCGACGCTGCGTAACCCGGCACCTGCTCCAAAAGAGGCACCTACCAGTGAAATGCCGTGACTGCACGCACTTTGAATCCATCAAGTCCAGCACCTCTGGCTGCTTCTGCCTTAATTGCCAGGCCGAAGGGCAAAACATCCGTTGTGCAGGAAAGTGCATGAAAACCGGCGGATTTGAGTATGAGATGCCATCCCTCCTGAAGAACTAACGAGCAAAACAGCCAGCCCGTGTGATGTCCAGTGTCCAAAACTATATAGTTATATATGTATAACCTGTATATATATAGTGCTCAGCACTATACGACTTCGTGCTCCCTTCTATCCCACACGACCAAGCCAAAGCCAGCTCATCCCAATGCAAACTCAGGGGCTCTGATTCGGACCACTGGTTGGTATCTCGAAGCCATACAGGTGCAGCTGGATCACTGACCTGAGCACAGAAGTGTAGTAGCTTGCAGGAAATGATAGGAAGCCTCTTCCCACAATTGGTCAAACTTTTTTGAAGCTTCTCGCAATCTCACGTGCGTTTGACGACCGCCCCGCTGAGGCAGGGCAAAAAGCTTTAAGCATTTTCGGCATTGGCATTCTCAATCTTCTGCCCTGTCAGTTGTCTTACAAGCACATCAAAGCCGAAGAGATGAGATTTGTCCAAAACCTGGACGTCATCAACCTAGCCTGCACGACACATTACTGTATCAGAAAGGCAAACAGGTCAGGGCCGACATTGAACATGCACCAAGTGAATTCACAAAAGCTGCCCAACTACATTCTCACTCAGCAACCACCACGACGAAAAAGGGCTGGGCGAACCCGATCACCGGCATAGGATTCAGCCGTCCCATAGCCCTGCTTGGGCTTCCATACCAGGCCCTTCCTTGTGGCACCAGTACTTGTGCCTCGTCCACGTCTGGGGACATCAATTGGAGGCTCCTTTCGGATGTGACTCAAAGAACTTGCACGCTTGCCGTTGCAAGCCGCGGCTTGGATGACTTGGTTGGGCTGTTTCGCTGTCCAGGTGGAGAAGGTGGGCATGACTCCAGGCATGACCGGATTCTGCATCTCGCGGTGCATCTCTGTATCCTTCCCACAGTTTTTGAGCTGGTCAGGTAGAAAGGAATACATATCTTCCAGGTCAGTACCCTTGGGTCGGCGATGGGCTGTGGCCTCCATCAAAGCCTTGCTGAATATTACATGGCTGGGAGGGCTCAAAGCTCGCGATTTCTTCGTGTCCTTGGGCAGCGAATGTAGCAAGAGTCAAGCAGACCGAATATATATTATCAAGCATCATCTCGCCAAAACAGTGGTGCAGCCGAGAATCCAATCCAGGTTGTTCGTCAGAATCCAGCACAAAGCACATTGGAGAGGTCGACATGAGCTTGTGGGCTTTTCGCGTCCGGGCCAAATTGAAACAGGCAAGCAAAACATCGAACGGTCCTGCCGAGTCTTTCCTTCACAACTTAATGTCAAGTCGTGAAATATTGCTGCAGGCTTGAGCTAATGAATCATTGAGCGGGAACTCTGAAGGCCCGTATGGCTGCGCTGACGCTCCCACCCTGTAGCTACAGCACTTCCTTCTGGGCCCCCGATCCACAGAGTGCACTTGAGAAGTAGAGATTATATAATTACATCGACCACTTTTGGGAAAGCAAATCTCCGAACATTGCAAGTGTTATGTTGTTCCGTTCGGTGGCGAGCATCAATTTGACTTATAGCATCGACAAGCAGAGGTGTTCCCGATTGTACGAGCTTCGGCTTCGGGCAATGGTCTACTTCGCTAGACTTGGGCAGCTGGGGGACAATTCGAAGTCGAGCTCAATCTGCCAAAGCTGGATAATATTGTCAGAAAGGTCTTCTTTGATCAGGCAGCAGTGACAGCCTGCACCCCTGAAATCCCTGCCAACGGCACGGCACCGGCCATTTTGTCCACATGCCCACACTAAGTTCAGTGCATTGAGCATATCCTGGTCCCATTCATCCACAATCTGCGTTGTGGAGCTGTCCACCTCATGGTCAAGTTGAAAAAGAAATGTTCAGTTGCAGCACGCTACCCTGATTCAATGGGTTTGCGTGCTGAAACGCTGCACTCTCTTTCGGCATCGAAAGCCGCACATTCAGTGCGGTATGAATTGGTTCTGTCACAGTAACTGTTTTCTGGGCAAACAGCTTCCAACGCAAGAATAACAAAGGCACGCTAGTCATGAATCATCATGTGCTGGTACCTAAAGCCTTCACTCTCGAATCGAACCTTCTCTGCTAAAGGTGTGCAGAAGGTCGAGGCTCCAAGCTTTAGCTGTTGGGGAGGGGAAAGCAAGGGTGCTTGAACTAGCTAGCAGCCAGCTATCTCACGCTGCTGACAAGCTGCAGGTGCGTGAACTTCCTTTGAACAGTCAAGATTGTCAATCTCATTGTCACCTTGAAGCACTCTCCAACGTTCTCATGAATTCATCAAACATCTTGCCAAACTTGCCTTTTTGGGCCGACCCGCAGCATTTCGGAAGCCAAGATTTCCTGAGCTTGTCAAGCCTTGCCTGCTTTTCAACATTCAATACTCCGGCGCTTTCTGCAACTCACTGATGCTTGTTGTGGTCACCAATGCCAAGGTGCGATCGCTTTCGAGGCTGGACTCCTGCACTTGTCCAATTAGATGGCTGGAAGAACTTCTGGAGGAACTGAGCTCAACACGTTGCATGCTGGAAAAAGGGCGGGGTCTCTAGTTTGAGCCACTGCGCAGCGGATGCAGTAGGTCTGATGTTCACCTTTGCCTTGCAAGGGTGCTTTTGACGAATTGCCCGATCAGGCAACCACGGAAAAGGGTTTGCAAAGTACCCACCCTACAACCACAAGTGACAATGTTCTCTCTCCCTCTCTATCGTTCTGCCGGTGTGCATTTCATTGGACCCCTTAAACTAAGCCTTAAACGGTACCGTTCACATAACGGCATAACTGCATAACGGCCTCTGGCGATCGCAGGGTTGCCATGAAACTGTCCTGGGAAAACAAGCACCCAAAACGAGGAACGTGAAACCAAAAAAAAGAAAGAACAAAAAACAAAAAAACAGTGACGTGTCGGATGTCAAAATAAGACAAGGTTCCCGAAGTGGATTCTTGACGAAATCTGCCTGCTGCCATCTCTGGAAATGGACGCCAACTGTGTGCAAACTGATCATAATATACACCAGCAAAGGCACAGCCGCAAAGCAACTAATAATGGTCCCAGGCCTCTTTCGTAGTAAAGCTGGTCGCACTGATTTGGCCAGGAAGCACCTTTGGGCACAAGAAAGTGTGTCCTTGGACGTATTTGGATTGCAAGGGGTGCAATGTTTATGTTCATCCATGATGGCCCGCCTCTGCATCTGTTCCTACGGGCTAACTACCAATTCTGCAGTCTAGAGTCTAGAGGAGTAGCCCCCAAACGAGCTTGAAACTTTGGTGACAATGTCTTAATTCCATGGCACGTAGGCCAGCGCTGCAGGCACTGTAGACCACAGAAGCGCCTGTGCCATTGGTTCCTGCACTCACCACAGTAACTAAACTGCATGTTCTTCATCTCTCTCCTACCACCTAGCCCATACCCGACCACCGATATTCATATATATATATATATGGTGATATATGGTTGATTTGTGAAATCACCTGCCGACGGTTCGTATGCGGTCCACTCGAGGGTCATGCATTCGTGGAATGCCTTGCTGAAGGCTCAAGTCAGGGGGCTTTCGGCACGGGGCGTGGACGCCATAGGTGCTTGTTGGAAGGTCGAGGACGACCTTGGAGTTCGAACTGGTCGTGGACGACCTCAGGTGTGCGTGGAAGAAAAGAGCTGCGCCAGGGAGCGCCACTTGTTTTTGGGAGGAGGATTGGAGGCCAGGGGCCCGCACCAGTGTGTGCAATACACATTGGTAGCGGAGCCCCGCACGGCCGAGGAGGAGGAAACTGGCTTGGGAAGCTTTAGATTTCCTTTGTTGCCTCGGAAGCCGTGAAGGGGTTCCAGGGTAGAGCATGGCACCAAAGGCTGCAGAAGGCGCTGGGAGCGCCAACGCTGGAAGCTTGACCATCTGTTTTGGGGACAAATCCCGGGATTTAAACCGGGAGAGACCGACCTGACGGAGTGGACGAAGAAAGTAGAGTTCTTGGCACAGCTTTGGCCCGCCGAACACCTTCAATTGCTGGCACCAAGACTGGCTTTACAATGTGAAGGGTCCGCTTTTCAACGTGTTTCCCGCCTCGATCCGAAAGTTTTGAGAGGGAATGACCTCGAGGGCGTCAAGGCCATTGTGACCTGCCTAGGGGGAATCTGGGGAAAGTCACGACTGGAAGACAAGTTCGAGAAGTTTGAAAGGGCCATATATGGGACTACCCAACGCCCTGATGAGACCCACGAATCCTACCTCGCCCGACACGATCATCAATTCGAAGACCTCATAGGTATGAAAGTTGGGATGGAAGAGTTTCGTGCCTACATCCTCTTGAGGAACTCGGCTTTGAGCGCTGAGGATAAGAAGCGCTTGATCGTCGAGCCGCAGGGTTCGTTGGAATACCATGGTGTGGTGGCCAATCTCAAATTGTTGGGCAGCCGCTTTTTCCACGAAGTCCATGCCGGTAAACAACACAACCCTCGTACAAAGACATATGATACCACAGCTTTGCTCACGGAAGAAGAGCCGACGTTGTTGACTGCACCTCAATATCCAATTGATGATGAATTTGGGTTTGTTGGGGATTGTATGGATGACAACATTGTTGAACAAATGGCTGAAGACGGCGATCCCGATGCCGTGGTTTGCATGCAGTTCGAGGAAGGCCTCATGGAGACGCTCCAGAACGATGCGGACATGGCCTCATGTCTGAATGCATACACTGAGGCTCGCAAACGCCTGGCCGACAAAACCAAGGGCCGGGGATTTTGGACACCTGTGAAGAAGGGTTTCGGAAAAGATCGGAAAGGCAAGAGCAATCGATTTGATTTCCGCAGCCGCAAACCTCTGGCACAACGCATCCTTGAAAGCAACTGCCGACGTTGTGGAGCGAAAGGCCACTGGAAGGCCGAGTGCCCTCTTCGACACCAAGGTCCTTCAGGTTCGAATGCATCCAAAGAAGGTGGAGCCTTCACTGGTGTGGTGATCCATGAACCGGCAGTCGAACACGACCCTGAAGATGACATGATCCCGGTTGAGGTTTCTAAGAACCATCATGCTGAGTGTTTTGTAGTTGCTCATGCCACCTCCAAGCATCTTTTGGGAAGTAATGGGGTTGAACCAAAGCCGGTGAACATCGAATTTCATTCGTGCGCTCTTAGGCTGTTGCCCACGATGAAAGTTAAGCTTGGCTTGAATCTTCGCCCCCTGACTGAGAGCGAACCTGTCCAAACCAGGATGGATGAGGTAGCACATTTTGTGAGCCATGGTTCTTTAGGCATCGTGGACCTAGGCGCGAGTCAAACAGTCATCGGACAGCATCAGGTAAATGAAGTGCTTCAGCAACTGCCGAAGTCCACTAAGGTGCTTGAGGTTCCGTGCCAGACCGTTTTTCGATTTGGTAACAGCAGCACTGTCCAGTGTGATCGAGCTCTGTTAGTGCCATTGGGAGCTTTCTATGTAAAGATATGCATTGTTCCGTCAAAAACTCCATTTCTCTTGTCTAACAATTTGTTTCGGAAACTCGAAGCCTCGATTCACACAGCCACGGACGAAATCCATTTCGGCAAGCTCGGAGTCAGACTGCCCCTTCAGCTGTCAGAAAAGAAGTTATACCTGCTGGATTTTGCCGAACTCGTCCGCAGTGCATCGCAATCCGAATCGGGCAATCTCGATACGTCAATCGAATCAAAGTCCAGATTAGGTAAGATAGAGCCCGAGTCCGTTCTCATCAGTCTTGAGCACGATTCCACAGTCCAATCCAAGCGAATCCGAAGCAACTCGTGCCCGAGACCTCAGGTGACTGATCGTGATTTGCGCAGCCATGTCGAACAGCAAGAGTGCCGCCAAGACCAAGGCAAGCAACAGTCTAGCCGAGCGGTACAACCGTTTGTTGAGCACCAACGAGACGGCGCATCACGATCCCGAGAGCATGAGCACCGAAGAACTGGCCAACCTGCGAATCTCATTCGGAGAGGCCAAGAGAGGTCAGACCTACCAGGAGGTTCTCCAGAGCGATCAACGCTATGTGGGATGGTTCCTCGCTCGATATCAGGACAGTCCCAAACCGGCCCACAAGAGCTTCGTGACCTACATCAAAAGGTGTGTGGAAGAGGAAGAGCAGAACCGCGAACTCACATCCTCTCCAGGCCAAGGCCAAGGCAGCTCATTGCCGTCCGGCCACTGCAGAGGAATTGGAAGTGTGGGAAAACGAGGGTCGCTGGGATATGGTCGAAGAAGACCTTCGAGATCCAGAGATCGCCCATCAGGCACAACGCCTCGATCGCCTCGAAGCCTCATTGCAGCAGATCCTCCAGGTCCTGACGCCACCGGCACCCCATCTGGAGCCGACGGCACAGGGACCCAGCAGCTACTCCCGGCCGGAGAAGAAGTGACTAATCCGTCAGCCGCCGCCCGTTCGGATGTGCCTGATGAAGTCAAGTCCATGCTCTTCGATTGCATAGGTATTGACCAGTGGAAAAACACCAACCAAAAGAGATAGTTGATACACTATACTTTCAAGACATGCAACCGAAAGTGAGCAATCCCATGTACCAAGAAATGATGCAATATTTCTGTCGACACTATGGGACCCAGGAAGAAGTTCATCACCTGAGTAGAGTCAATAGTGACCTCCTGGAAGTGTACTGTGCATCGGAAAGCGAGTTGACAAACCAGGCCATTGGGTTAGGTTTGAAAGCTATGCGTTTCTGCCGTTCCCATGGAGACCTCAACACTTTTGGGGGAAGAAGCCGTTCGTATGATCTCATCTGGGTCACCCGACCTCGACACATTTGGACTTCTCCCAACTGTGGACCGTGGTCAGGATGGAGTCACTTAAATGCAGGAAAGTCTCTCGAAATGGCAGAGCGCATTCACCGTGCTCGAAATCATGAGCGTTGTCATCTTTGGCTGTGCGACGCTTTGCGCCGATTACAGATCCGACGCCGCAGAGACTGTCATTTCCATTTAGAGCAACCTGCCAATTCCGACATGTTTTTTCAAGGAGAACTGTCGTTCATTGTCCACTACACAGTCCAAGCCAAGTTCGACATGTGCACCGGAGGACAACTCCGCCACCCCGAGGACAACCATAGGTTCCTCAAAAGTATGGACCACCTCCCAAGTGCTACAGAGAACCATAGAACAATGGCAATGTCCGGGTAATCATCAACATCTATCCATAGCCGGAAGCTGTAGAGTCCCAGGGTTTGGTAGGATGTCCGTGTCTCAATACACCGACTCGTATACCAAAGCATTTGCCCACAAAATAGGAAAGGTACTCCAACTCAGTGCCCAAACAAAGGAAGCTCAGGGGACATCAACACAGTTTGCAGAATCGTTCGCAAGCGACGATAATCCACAAGAGTCGAAGCGCCGTCGGATTGAGTTCAAGTCACCGCCGGATCCCGGCACAGCATCGGATGTGCTGTCCCGAGTTGAAGCGATTCTCCAAGAAGCTGATCATGTGACTCCCCGGGTAGGCAGGAATTGGATGACCTCGGGTAAAATCCTCGATCAACTCCAAAATATGTTCCCTGAAATGTCCATTGTGGCCATAGATGTTTGTCGGGGCATCAACCGTATGCGAGTTCCTCCCAACAACGTCAATAGTCAGACATGTCCCTTTCGAAGAGCCATGGGGAGAAAACGCGAAGACCAATCCGTGATTTTGGAACCAAAATGGGAACGCTGGAACACGTTGTCCCACAGACAACAGATTCGTGCCGGAGTTCCCACCAAGCTGCA